GACTTTAATTGGTGGCGCTTGCGGTTCACAGTGAAGCAGTGGATTCACGTGGGCTCAGTCTTTCTGTTTTCACTAGTTTATTTATTTATTTTTGTGATTCGCTATTTTTCACCTAAATAAATGTCGATGTTTCCTTATTCGGCATCTTTGGAGCAGTTCCAAGATTGTAACGATCTTTCCAGTGTTGCAGGAAGAAGTGACGATAACATTTACTTTTAGGGTGTATTTTCTGCTCGTTAAGCCCAAAATATGTCACATGGATAGGGCTCCCCCTGGTGTTCACACCGAAGATCTTTATTTAATGACAGTTTTTATTGATCATTTTGACGCCATTCTCACATCAATCTCACACCAGTGAGAACCCACATCAGGCTTTCTCGTAGTATTTGTACACACTGCTATTGGTTTTACACATACTTCACTGCTAAAGGTGATAGTCATTGTGTGATGTGTTTCTCATTTGAATGGCACAACTGATCAAATTGTTATTTTCCAGAAAGAAATACAGATCTCTCGCTTATGAAACAACGCTGTGAAGCATTGCATTAGTGTTTTCAATCAAATCACTTCTCAAGTTTTTAAAATATGCATGAAACAGCAAGGCCGTTAAATGCTGTCAGTGGTAGCAGTGAATATGCTCTTCAGTTGAAAGCAAATATAAACACGGTCTCAGAAGAGGTTCAGTCGAAGCAGCTACAAACACATATTCTCAGTCTTGTGTCACACGTGCAGGTTATGACACTGTTATTACATGCAAGCATGAACTACACACATATGTAGTGTGACTTTGTCATACTATTCAGTAATTGTTTCTGTGTTGTAAGCATATTTTTGTCTTTGTTTATTTTCTGATGCACATAGTATCAGGACTGATTTACAACAAAAAAGGGATGATTTTTTAAAAATGGCAGTGACTGATATGATGTTACTCTTAGAAAAAACTAGAGGTGTCTAGGTTGATATGATGGGTTGCATTAAATTTTGTATTTTTCTATAAATTTGACAGCTTTTCCTGCTGATAAAGATACTACACCAAAATAGTTACCTAAAAGATAAACAGGAAAAGGTCCATTTTTTTACTGTCTAATATAAAAATGTCAGTATAAAAAAGAGAAAATGTTCATCAATCAACAAAAACTTGTTCTTTTAAAACTACAGGATAGTAGTTTACATTTCATACATTTACACATTTGTCATGAAGATAAACCAAGACCTGCTGTAGATACTGCACTTATTTATCTTATATTAAAAGATCTCAGGGATTAAATGTATAATTAAAGATGTTTACACTGACAGAAAGAGTAGTTTCACTCATCTGCCCCACTGAAGATCCAAGTGGGCTGTATGTGGCCCTCATTGTAAAAGGAGTTTGACATCCTTTGTTTAGACTGTTTTACTGACTTGCACAGATGAGACTGTGATATGAGATGTGGTGACAGTGACACTCCTGATGTGAGACTTACACCAACGTGATGAAGAAACACAGTAAAGTCAGAAAGACCCCAGATGAGAAATGGGAATTTTGTGTTCTGGTTTTTAAAAGATGTTTTTCTATTTAAAATTAGAATCCATGAGAGAACCACAAATAAATTACTTAACCTTGAAGTTAATGCTTGGAAATGGATCCAGGAGACCTCCGGGGGTTAAGTTTATTGACCATAACAAAGCAGTCATGTGGGCCTTGAGTGGTCTCTTCAAGTTTATTAGGGGCTTGTAACCAGATCGGCAGATATGGAAACACAGACAAGCCTTGAAACTTTTTTTTTTTTTAGTTCCAAAATGTGTATAACTTTAATATCTTTAAAAGTGAAGATCGCACTGGGATGCTTTTAGCTTGGTTATCTTTTTATGTGGGACATAGAGATAACTCCGTGTATAAACAGCTTTTATACATATATTTTCTTTGCAGTAACATTGAGTCTGTTTCTGGTTTAAGAAATTTTACTGGTCATTTTTTTCAAAGTAGCCAATCTACTCAAAGTGTGTCCACTGACATACTGGGTTGCTGTGGCATTTATGACAAAACAATGAACTAAAGTTTTCTTTACTTTTATCTGCACCTTACTGACTTTGGATGGAGTGCAGCAAAAATGTAGCCCTAATGTAGAGTAAAAACATTTTAGGCACAAAAAATGAAATGTGAACAATGTACTTGAAATTTTACAAAATTGCTTAAATGGAGAAAAGCAAAATGATACTCGTGAAACTATATGCATCAGAAAATAGACAAAGAAAATATGTAGAATCCATGAACATAGCAGCAGCCACTGTATGGTCCATTACAGTCACACCACATACATTCAGCAGCCACTTTATTACTCATTAATGCAAATACCTAATCAACCAATCACAGGTCAGAAATTCAAATGCAGGCATGTAGACATGGTCAGTAGAGTCTGATCAAGTTCAAACCAAGCATCAAGAAGAAAGGGGAATAAAAGTGGCACAGCTACTGGTCTAATTGTTTCGAATACTGCTGGCCTGCTGGCATTGGGAATGGTCTGAAATGAGAAAATATCAAGCGAGCAGCAGCTGGGTGAAAATATCTTGTTGATGTCAGAGGTCAGAGAAGAACGACCAGAAGATTTTAAGCAGAACAGCAACAGTAAGTCAGTCAACCACTCGTTACAAACACGAGTGGTTGTGCAGGAGCGCATCTCTCAAATCATAACACATCTGACTTTGAAGCAGATCTGCTACAGCAACAGAAGAGCACAGTGGAGGCCACTCCTGTCTGCCAAGAACAGGAAACAGCTGTCGGTTATATATTGGACGAACATTTGAAAATCAATGGCCCCCAATGTCACCTGCACTGTGAATGATCTCCAAGAGCTGACTGATAAAAGTACAAAGCAGAGTTGCATCAATTGCACCTCAATAACAAATATTGTTTGTAGTGAAGCACGAGTAAGTTATTTAAAAAAGGGGCATTACTATTATTATTTCATAACAAAAGTCAGAGTATCAGTTCCAAAGAACTGACAGTGTTGAGAGTAGATTGCATTCAAAGAGAGGCCTTGCAAACCAAAATAATCTGTAATTTTCCCATAATTTTGCTGCAGCAGGTGAAAGAACCAGTTTTTTCGTTGTTTGTAATTTAGTTTTGTAATGGATTTGTTGTTGATTCAGTTTGTGATAGGCATTCTTCTATGAAGAAATCATCGAACTTCATGTTTTTTCATGTTCAGAGAAACACTGTGCTACTGTTGCCATTCAAGTCAATCAAGAAGAAATCAATAGCAAACAATAAAACGCATAAATCTGACACCATATTGTTAATAAACTGCAGAGCCTTTAGAGGGTGACCTCCAGTCAAGTATTTGACTGTGGTTAAACCTCATATATGACATGCACATACATACCACACAGTCATGCATGCAGTCACATGTGAACAAAGTCACAAAGACAAGAAAATTGATCACACCTGCAGGCTTCTGACACACACAGTCACAGCTGAGGAAAAAGCAAAAGTGGACGACAACGTTTGACTGGAGTCAAAGAGGAAAGGAGGGAAGAGGATAAAAGAACGAGTGCGGAGTGCGAGGGTGGAGAGGCAGAGTCGTAGGATGGGAGAAGATGGAGGGGTGATGCAATAAAATCAGAACTGCACTTTTATTGACCTTTTTGGGGGTTTTTGATAAACGAAACATAGAAGAAGGTTGACTAGCAATACTAGTATGAGAACCAGCGCTTGTTTGTCTTCTCAGCGTTCTGTTTTTCACTCATCCACATCTTCTGACTGTACTAAACACCTTTATTCTTTGCCTGTATGACCTCCTTTTTCTCCTTTCTTCTTCTTTTTAATTTTTTCTTGTCATCTATATTCTTGCCCAAGCAGCTCAACATCATTCATTTCATACAATGTGGTTTTACAGCTGATGTGGGATCATAAAGTTTGTGAACAATGGCATAGCTCTTGTCATTTTGCCTCCTATAGATCATCACAACATCACTAACCCTGTAATGCCATGAAATTTAGCATGGGGAAAAAAAGTTTTGTTAAACACGTTTTTGACAGATTTCTAAAATATTTGTGGTTTCTTGTTTTTATCCTAGTACATCTGGGGGTGGTGGTAGTTTACAATTAGGTCTTACTTTGATATTTTGGGCTTTGAATCTTATTCTTTTTGGTCATTTTTGGACTTTATCTTGTACAATTTGTATATTTTTCATCTGTATTTTCACAGTGTGTATTTGTGTCTGTGGAAACACTGTTGATTGTCCTGCATTAGGCAGGGTATTTTTGCAAAAGAGAGTCACGCTATAACAGATAAATAAAAGTTTCATCATAGAAAGGAAATATTGGTATTATTAACACTATTGATTAAAGTTCAGTAACTAAATGCATCAGAATCTTCACAAGTTTCAGTAGCAAGATCAGTTTAATGTTTGATTAGATGTGCTAAGTAGAAACGTGATTATCAGGCCTCTGGTGAATTTTACATGTTCAAATCAGCTGTTCAAAGAGTTTTCATCTTGCCTAATGACACCAGAGGAAGTTCTTCTGCATCAACAAGGAACTCCACAGACCTGCGTGTTCAGCTAACTGTTGATTCTAAATTGCCTCTGTATGTGACGTAGAATAAAATACTAGTTCATACACAAGCGTGCATGCAGAAGGGGTGGTTAAATGACTCAAATTCAACTCACAGAAGTTCTTCCTACCAAAAAAACTTATGTTTAAAACAGCAGACACCTTTTTTTCCTTCACACATTTCCATTTCTCCTCTTCCCTAATCAGTTAGGTCTTTCATTCTTTTATTTTTTACCCAATTTCCTCCATCCTGTCTTTTTGTCTTTTTCCGCCTCCAACTCTGAATGAATTCTCACTAACTGATCCCTAAACCGGGCCTTGTCTCGCCCCTGATTTTCTCGTTTTGTCTTCTTTCATACTTTCTGTTCATCTCTCTCTTGCTGAGACCAGTGCACTGTGTGCCTGAGTGGATTCAGCATGTGACATCAACACTCTGGCTGTTAAACAGAGCTGTGGCAGGTGGGATTGCTGGAGCCCGTCACTTTCTCTCCTCTCTTTCTCACTCTCTCTCTTGCTCGTTCCTCATCTCTCAGTCTGCTCTTATTCACTTCTGTGTATGGGCAAAGCGGGATAACATGGACACTTTGGGTTTTTTTATGCTGCTAATACTTCTGTTTTTCCAGTGGATGCCTGCCCTTGCTGCTGGTAAGGTGAAAATTAACATAATAACGGGCATCATGTGAGATTTTTGGCTTTGATTCTGGTATTTGATGGTTTGGGTTTTCCAGTTTGAGCCTTAGTAGAAGAAAAGTAGTAATTTCCTGATCTATCTTTTATCTTTTATCCTCTGCCTTTTCTTTTTTCAAAGTGAATTTTTAAATTTGGTTTAACCAAAACAGAAATTTCAGGAATTTTTTCTCTTTTGTTTGTTTTTGTTTTTTTTCAGAGGAAATCACCTGGACTTACTCTGGTAAGTTCAAGTTCCCAATGTAGCTCATTAAAAAACAGATTATTTTATTGAGTGATAGTTAGCACAACATTGTCTAGATTTATGGTTAGAGTATGTTAGATATCTGGGGCAATTGTTTGTTTGTTTGTTTTTTGTTGTTTTTTTAGCACTTTAAAAATAAGGAGCAAAGTCCTGAAGTCAATTTTGTAATGACCTGAAAACAAATAGAGACATTTCGTACAGTTTAATGTGTAATCCACTACGCAATCTAATCTGATGACATCAAAGACTTGCACAAGTTTTGCATGAAACAACTAAGCAGGGTTTTCACCTGCTTGGCTGCACATGTTAAATCTGGATCTCTAAAATGTTAAAATTCTGGTAAAAGCTTCTGTAACTGGGGTAGGATTTAAGTCTTCCCCTCCCATATCTTCCACCCTTTCTCCCTCTGTTTTTCCCCTTCTCTGTATTAGTTACAGTTCAGCAAACTGGCATGAGGGCAGCAGCCACACAGAGATGATGAAGGGGTGGGTGGAGGCCGGTTGAAAGGAAGAAAGCTAGAAAAAGCCAGAGAGAGAGGCTGACTGGGAGAGAGGCAGGTGCACGAAGATGAGTGTGTTGGACAGAGCAAGGGAGATGGGACGGAATGAAGCTAAAGCAAAGCAAATCGCACAGTGTATTGTTGCAGCGCACAATATCCTATGTGTTTATTGTGTTGTTGAGGCACACTGGCTGCCTATGCTGCAGACAAAGACATTGTGGGAATGAATGGGGTGCACAGATTAGCACCCTTTGCATGTATTCAGGAGAGCAGCACTGATATACAGTACATGCAGAATACACAGCAAACTTTAGAGTCTGTACCAGGAGGCAGATGGTGTATATACATGTGTGTCTAGGTCTTATTATACTGGATATAGAGGCAGACGACTGTAAGATTGTGTTGCAGTACATACGGTGTGTTTACTAATGCAGAAAATCAGTTTTATTAAGCACAAGGTTGTGAAGTGGAGAATCACTTGATGTCAGAGATTTGTCTTCACAGGAGTTTAGAGACAATTAAGGGAAAGTCAGTGATCTCCTCATCACCCTCTCAATGTGTCTTTGTTTTTAGCTGCATTCAGGCCGGTTGTAGCATGCTTTGAGAGGTAGGGTGGGTGCATGGGGGTCATAATTTTCGCCTCCAGTCACCATGGAGACCTCCATGACAACCAGTTAGGGGGCTGCAAGACTTTGAAGTTCTTTGCTGTGAAGAGTAGCTAGTGAGGGGCAGTGGGCATTTGGCAGATTAGAGAGGGCAAGGTGGGGGTTACATGGAGACATGGAGAAAGCAGTGGGAGTGGACATGTGGTATGCGTTTACATAATTAATGTCAAGTCCCCTCCTCAATTCCTCAATTTCTGTGTGTTTGAGTGTAAACAAAGCCTTCTGAATTTACTGTGTCTATGCAGAGGAAGTGTTGGTTTTGCAGAGGTATAATGTGCTTTTAAACACAGAATCAGTGAACCTACAGCTGCAAATAACATGACAGACCTCGCATTTTTGTGTGTAAAAGGTGTCAGTGGTGTGCCTGTTTTCTAAAGCATTCCTTGCTTTGCAATTGAAATTCAGGTTCTTTGACTCACATGTCGCTCTTTCTCTTTCCTCTTTTCTACGTTTCTTTTATCGTGCAATAGAATAGACCAGTCTCTTTTTAATTCAGTGAACCCAGGCCTCAACTACCCTCCTCTCCCTCAGTTTCTTTCTCAGCGTATCTCTGTCCATCTTTCCATTAAATTCTTTAAAAATAATTAATCTTAATACTCTTTAATCTTTTATACATTAACAGATATTACATATTAGATATTATGTGAGCAGGGGACCAACATTTCATAGTAATTTCCTATGGAAGCCAGCAAAAATATCTGAATCTTGTACAGATTATTATAAAAATGTACAGAAAAATATAATTTCTGTACACACTAATACTTTGTTTTTCATGCTCATCAGGTTATAATTATATAAAATACTGACACTGTCATTCAATAATCAAGTCAGTAATTATCAGTGCCACAACAATGGTTTTTCCAGAATTTACCATCATCTGCGTTAACCATCCAAAATTAAGCATCACATTTTATAAAAAAAAAAAAAAAAGCAATTTTAACGGGTTTTTTTTACATAGCTGTAGGAATTTACTCATAGTACAAATATAGTATTTATGTTTTTTAAAAAGCACTGTATTTTATGAAAAAATGGACTCTCATCAACAATCATAATGCACTTTGTTAAATTAGAAGTAATTTTATAATCTTATCTATCATTGCACATCTATTGTACATGGTTTATTTATGTTTTGTGTCTCTTTGACCACAGATATCTGCATTAACTAGCTGTTTAGTAGCAAATATCATCAAAACATATCATTAGTAATCAGAAAACACATATTACTGCTTTTGTGTTTTTTAATGTTGATATTTTAAATCTACTAAGTAATAAACAGAGTAGCCCCTCAGTAACCTTTGTATTAATATGTTTTGATCAATTTGAGCCTTACGAGGCACTAGCATCACTAGAATAACATTATTCATGCTACAAGAACCAACACTAACACTAAGAAACACACACAAAGCAAAGGTCTAAGAGTCCAAAAAACTAAAAACAAGTCTTTCCAACTCTTCACACATTCCTCATTCAATATGCGATCATGCCCACACTGATTTATGAGGAGTCTGACAAGTAAGAGCCCAACATGGTTAATGTGGTCATGCAAAATAAGAAAAAAGACACTGAGCTACTATTATTTGTGTTAATTAAACAACTACGTAATGTTAAACGAGTGACAAATAAATATATTAGGACAAATAAATATTACCAGACATTCAAAGTTGGGTTAGAATATATCCCCTCAGGTGACAACCAACGTTGATTAAGCAGTTGATCCACTGCTCTGTTGAATAAAAATTAATGCGGTGCTGATTTCTTTGATTCATTGCTTAGATCCATTTCCCTGCATGTTTGTATTTTTTCCAGCCTTTTTTAAAAAAAATTGTCTTTGACAGTAGAGTTAATTCAATACAGTAGAAATAGAAATGTTTCTCTGAACAAACAGTTTTCAGTTATTTAGACTGTTTTAACAAAACTGGTTCAGGATTGTCCTGCACTGTCAGCAGTGGTGGCTTTTATCAAAGGCACATAAATATTTGGATGTGTGCATGTTTTTGCCACGAGCCTGTGAACCTAAAGAGCACATAGAGGAATAATTGTTCTGCATAATTAGAGATACATCAATAGAAGCTTTTCACTGAGCCAGTGAGCTGTGTGATTGAATGACATCAGTGTAACGGTCTTTCCTCTGTCAAAGGCTTAGTCGGCCAGAGTGAGTGGTCAGAGTATTTCCCGGATTGTGGTGGTACCTCACAGTCTCCAGTTGATGTAATGACCACGCAGGCTAAATACGACCCCAGTTTGATCCCTGTGACTCCGCTGGGCTACAGCCAGCACGGCAACCAACCCTTCACTATGTACAATAACGGACACACAGGTAACTTTGGCAGCCAGCTCATTTCCCGTTCCAGTTTTACGGTCTGCCTGTTTATACTGGAGTCAGATGTGGTCAGCAAACTTTTATAGCTCATTAAACTGTTAGCAGTCGGACGTACCGCCCACGGGACATTGGATGGTTTAGGGGACTAATAGGACTGCTAAGGGGTTAATTACTTTAGGAGATTAATAAGAGATGACTTGCAACTTTCCATTTTTATATCCACTTTTAAAATTGTAGATTCTCATTATACGCTTTCCTAGAAACAAGTCACCAGTGTTGTTTATTTCTCCATCAGTGGTGATTGAACTGCCAGAATGGATGGGACTCGGGGGGCTGCCGTGGTTCTTTACAGCCATACAAATGCACCTCCACTGGGGCAATGACGGCCCAAGTCCCGGAGGCAGTGAACACACCATTAACGGACTGAGTGCAGATGCAGAGGTACATTTAAACACATCTGACTGTTAACTACCAGTAACCACACACATACAGTTAAAGTAAATATGAAACTCACCCACAATACATGATGCGTCACTTAACATAGCATGGACTAAACAGATTTGTAATATAAAAATAATAATAATAAATAAATGAATAAATAAACAACAAGGACCAGTATAAAGATGTTTATTCATTCATTTATAAATATAAAGACAAATATTTTTATAAATGTAAAAGTTTTTTTCAGCTGATTTAACATGTATGTAAGACACACTTGTGCAAAAAGGTTTTCTTGGAATCTGCCATTACATGTGTGACATACACAATTAAGCAATGTGCATGTCACACCAAATTCTGTGGCAGCATGACAGGAGGCAGATTTCTTGGTTACAAATATGTGACTACACACAATATGTATCAACAATTACAGCAGTAAATGTGTGAATTTGCAGATGGAAATAGTCACAAAGAAATTCATCGCTTCCTCTCGCGTGCATAAAACTATGTAAAACGGCTGTGCTATTTATCTTTGGCACATGCAGTAAATGCAGTAAGCATTTAACTAAAAATTGACACAATTAAATGAGAGACTTTTTATATTCTCTGATAAACTATTTTTGATTGTGTTTTTCATTTTTTAGTGATGATTGAGATTAAATAAATATTTGTTTAAATATAACATATTAATAACAACTATATAATATACCCTCCTATAAAGATAAATGTTATTTTAACAAATACAATTATTCATTTTTGGAATTGCATCGGTATATTTAAAGATCTTCTTATATTCTATATTTAAATCTTTGTGTCACTTTTTTTGTTGATTTAATTTTGGTTTACTGTGATAATGAAACAGCCCACTGACGAGAAGCTAAGGGGGGAAATGACATCCAAGAAACATTTGTGTTGACTTAATGTTAATTAAAAAAAATAAATACAGAATTTAAAAGAGGGAAAGACACGAGTAGGTGACCGAATAAAATTTGGAAAGAGTGAACAAGGTAGAAGAAAGAAGGTAAAAGAGTGGAGTAAGGATGAAGGTGAGCTGAATATAGATACACCTTTAAGAAAAGGACAATTATCATTTTTAAAAAATGAACTTGCATTTGGGCTTTTACAGCATAATGAGACATTTCAGTGCTTTTCAGGACTGAGTTTGCATCCAGCTTTTTCTGTCTGTCAGTTTTAAACCCAAGCCTCTCTTCACCGCCTTCTTCCTTGTCAGAGTGAATTTTTAAAAATACTGCGTGTCCTCCTACTCCCTCCAGCTCCATGTGGTGCACTACAACTCTGAGCTCTACCCAAACATGTCTGCAGCGATGACCCAGAAAGACGGTTTGGCTGTTTTAGGAATTCTCATTGTGGTAATGAAACAATTTTGTCACACAGCAGCTATCCATATAATCATAAAAAAGTAAAAGGTGTAAATCTTACACTCATTAGCTGGAATATTTTTGAGCATTTTAGTGATCATTTAAGCCCGACTTTTCCCAGACAGGTGAGGAGACAAACCCGGCGTTTAACAACATCCTCAACTATCTGAGTCGCATCAGGCATGCAGGTAAGTCTTCGTCCACTTCCACTTTATTCCTAAAGCACTTTAAAACAAGAAAACAGCTAACCAAAGGGCTTTACAAAAACTACGAGAACAAAAATAAAACAATAAATCAGCTATAAGTTAATACATAGGAGCTGAAGAACATTAGAAATAGTACAGGTGCATACAAAGGGTAAAAGTTTAAGACAGAAACTCACACTGGGTCAAAGCCAAGGAGAAAAGGTGTGTTTTTAAAAACAGTGAGAGATGGAGCCTGCCTGGCCTCCAGCTATAGCTCATTCCACATTTTAGGAGCAAAAGCTGCAAAGGCTCTTTCTCCTTGGATTTATAAAATGTCTTTGGGAGAGTCAAAAACACCTGGCTAGCTGATCTAAGAGCACGTGATAGCATGTAAGGGTGAAGCAGCTCAGACAAACAACAAGGGGCAAGACCATTAAGAGACTTAAAAACAAATAAAACAATTTTACAATGGATCGAAACTTAACAGGAAGTCAGTGAAGGGATGCTAAAACTGGGATTATATGCAATTGTTTGCTTGTACCAGTTAAAAATTGTGCAGCAGCATTTTGTACCAGCTGTAGACGTGAGAGGGAGGCCTGGCTAATTCCAATCCAAAGAGGATTTCAGAAATCCAGGCGAGAGGTGATAAATGCATGGATCAGTGTCTTTAGGTGGCATCTAGATAGGATGGGCTTATTTTTTGACTTCTCGAATGAGAGCAGGTGGACTCAACCACAGTATTGACATGTGAGACAGGTTTTAGGCTGGGGTCCATTTTCAGCTTCATCCTCCTACAAATATTTTTAAACCACGTCATTGTTTCACAGTTTCTTTACATTTAATCATTTACAGTGTTTGTGTTCTTTTAAGTGATCTCACTATTTAATAATTTTCAGTAATTAAACATAAATCAGTTCTTTTCAGCTCTGCTTGTCACCGTAACAAAATGTTTTAAATTAAAAGCAGTTAAGTTTTAAGAGGATAAAAAAAACGTGTTGTTTTGGGTATTTACACATTTCTTCTTCTCCTTTCATCCATAATCAGACCAGAAAGCGTTCATCCCAGCCTTTGACGTGCAGTCTTTGCTTCCTGAGGATCTTGGGCGATACTATCGATACAACGGCTCCCTGACAACACCGCCGTGCCACCAGAGTGTTATCTGGACCCTTTTCCATAAAAGGGTTCAAATCTCAGTAGCCCAGGTCTGCACATCTAAAATCTCTAATCTCTAAACAGTGCAAAAAGAGAACAAACATGCCTCATTTTTTGCTCAGCTAGTTATGTTTTTCCTCACTAATATGAAACAGGTCGATTGAGCATATTGAGTACAACATTAATCCTATTTTTACTTTAAAATCAAAGTGAAATGTATTATTTTTTCATGGGGCGACCGTGGCTCAGGGGGTTGGGAAGCGTATCTGTAACCAGAAGGTCGCCGGTTCGATCCCCGGGCTCTCTGTCCTGGTCGTTGTGTCCTTGGGCAAGACACTTTACCCTACCGCCTACTGGTGTTGGCCAGAGGGGCCGATGGCGCGATATGGCAGCCTCCCTTCTGTCAGTCTGCCCCAGGGCAGCTGTGGCTACAACCGTAGCTTGCACATTCACACACTCCACCAGTGTGTGAATGAATAGTGGCATTGTAAAGCGCTTTGGGTGCCTTGAAAAGCGCTATATAAATCCAATCCATTATTTTATTTTTTTTATCATGATAAATATATGTAAAAACATATCTCACAGAACTTATTATCCCTTTAAGATAACAAAACATTATCTTACCAACAACATATTTACCTGTTTAGACATGTTATGGCTTCCTGTGGATGTGATGAGTGCATCCTGCAGCTGTGCAATGCTCATTGGTTGTATCTGCCTCTGATGAGAACATCAACCCAGCATGTCCCAGGCAGACATATCAGCACTAAATACTGGCCGAGGAGCTGCCTGCATATGGTCCAGAAAATCCTGTCCTACTCCAGCAGTGTTATATTTTCTTTATTTGTAACAGAAAGTGTAAACTTGGAATGTTTTTGTGACTTTGACTTAACTTTCAGCACTACACTATAACTGACAGCTTTTATTCTACCAGAAGGATATAAACTTGCTTTCCACGTGCAGTCTAGAACTCAGTGTAACTGCTCTTCTTCTCCTTTTTATCTCTCCACTCCAGCTGCTGAAGTTGGAGAAAATCCTTTACTCCAGTAAAGCTGAAGAACCAGACAGGATGCTGCTGCAGGACAACTACCGTGCAACACAGCCACTCAACCACAGAGTCATCTTCACCTCCTTTTCTGCAGGTCAGACAGAGTAACTACAACCAGATAATTAAAAGAGACATGAAATTCTCTCTTTCATGTTGCTGTGGTGCACAGGAAGTCACATATTTGCATATGAGCACTTAGAAAAATGGTACTTGGTTAGAATATTAGCAGAATATTCTTTTTAGCCTTTCAGACTGAAGAAATGCGGATTTGGGACAGGTCGCAGCCAGTCTGCTTTGAAGTGTTACCCCACTTTAGCCCTTCTACACTGAGTGATTGTAATGCCAATCTGCTGCTCGTGATACAAAGAACAATGAGTACAATAAAGTCAGTGGGTGACCATGTAGAGCAAAGCAAGCAATTAGTACAATGTATTTAAAGCGTGAAAAGTGAGGAGAAATGTGGGAATACTAATGATTGCCGGTGATTTTGTTTGAGAGACAATAACCTTAGGATGGCATGATTAAAGAGAAAAAGAGAGAGAATAAGGGGAAGTGATGGAAAAGGAAAAAGTGTTTCTTTGCAAGCTTATTGGAGAAAAGGATTTTTTAGAAACTGAACACTGTCTCCATTGTAATCGCAAGAGAAGAGGGAAGAGGAAAAAGAGACAGAGAGAGAAGTGAAAGAGAGAGACAGAGTGGCAGACAAAAACAAAGGAGAAAGAATTTGTGTAAAATGCTCATTGTAATGAGTGGCTGAACTGGAAAGCCTGTGATATCAGCACTCTTGAAAAGGCAGCAAGACTGAGTGGACATAACATTTCACAACACTACAAGTTGAACAGCAAGATTAACCGATTGGTTGCTCCGTGTGAGACGAAAAATAACAAAATGATTATTTATTCTGTATTTTGTAGAATCGGGGAAGGAGCTCTCGTCTGGTAAGACTAGCAGTTATTTCCATGCATATCTTTGCTGTCGCTTTTTGTAGAATCGCTTTTTTAATTCGCTGAATTGCTTTATTTCTGTATTTCTGTTCACTTTTTATTGCTTTCCTGTTTGTCTCTGTGGTCATCCCTGCAGGAGAAGTAACAGCCATAGTGATAGGAGTGATGTGTGGCTGTGTAGGCCTGGCGGTTATCGTTCGCTTCATCGTGAAGACAATACGGTAAAAGGTTTTTACTGCATTGCTTCGTCATTTCCATAGTCTCGTTGCTGTTTTTTCTTTCCACTCTTTCAAAAGCACATTGTGGTCTTTCTGTTTTTCTTTTTGGTTTCACTTCACTGTTTACCTGTAGAAACTTTGGGGGGGATCGCCTCACTCCAACTCCTTTCTCTTGGCAGATTTTTTAAACTCCTCCAATTTGAAGCAGTCGTGGTAAACAGGTGCTTTACCTGACCTGAATACTGACAGAGCTTTTGGCTAGCATTGACTTTGTCGGGCGTCCTCAGCGCAGATCTTTGATCGGCTTATAGACACATTCATTCTGTTTTCGATCCCTGTGAATGAAAACAATGGTGATCTCATAGTAATCTACATATAAATCATTAATTACAGTATGCTGAGAAGCAGACATAAATTAGAGTCCAACGAATACACTGGCATGGACAAAACTGTGGATATATTTTGATTTAGTTACAATATCAGATGGTTTTAACTTAAATATGATCATTTTTACCATTACCAGTGTTGGTTGGGCTGTAATAGAAATGTAAAGAAAGAAATGAAAAGATAAAATTAGCACTAAGATCAGTGCTGGGAATAATCCGATCCTTTGACCTCTGCTGCAATAACATGCCAATTTCATAATTCGCTGCCCTTCTCTCATGATTACCACTGATTAATGAAAGTATGAGCTCTTCCCATGCCCGAGCGATTTAACTCTTTTCCCCTTGGATGCCTACTATGTGTAAACACTGTCTCTTTTTTTTGTGCTGAACAGTTTCTGTCATATTTGAGGCCTTTCTTCCAGAATGACTGGGTGTTTGTGTCGGTGGTGGTAGTGGTGGTGAGGGGGGGGGGGGGGGGGGGGGTATATAAATAATATGCACTCAGGTGTCAAACCTCATCAACGATGGTACAGTGGAAGTCGTCAAATGTTGTCTTCATGGGGGAAAGAGCTAACATCTTCACTGCTTTCTTCAGCACTTCTCAAAATGGATTATTAGATCCCTCGAGGAGTTTGGGAAACCATCAGCTTTCATTTTGTTAATCTGCTTTAAACTTTACATTAAAATCTCATCTCCGGTCCCTCAGACTAACGAGAGCACAGTGGGAAGAAAACACTTGCATACAGCCTCTTTGAAATGTTAACTCTCTGTTTTGTTCTTCTGTTCCTGTCATGTGATTCCATCTTTTGGTCTTGTGACAGCTCTACCTCTAGCTGGGATGTCCTGCACAATAACCGGCCTGCTCCCATGCCAAGGTCACTGTTCAAAATTATGACCCCTGACCTCAAAACTTTAATTTCAACCTCTCAGACGTAGTTTATTCTTTTTTTAACCACCTATTCACAATAACTTATCCTCATGAGTTAGACATTCTTAGAGTACCTACTAAAGACTGTGAGACATTTTAACTTCCAAGAAATCCTCCAGAGTACAGTTAGAATTTCTTAAACATCTGTCATTAGTAAGAAGAGTAGTCCTTAATCCTAAAGTTTTAGGTGTTAGAGTTCTGTCCTCTGTCTTCTAATGTACTCAGTGCTCACTGGATACATACGTGACTGTGTTGGACTGTCTCTTAAACTGTAAATTTACATGGGAAGGAATAATAATATCTGTCTCTACTGGCTAAAGTTTAGTTGATTTAAAGTGGCAACAGGAAACTTTTCATCATTCGCTGCTCTTGCGAATAGCTGATAGCTTTCCATTTTTAAATACTCTTGTGTTTTAAACCAGTGTAACAACGTGAGAACACAAGGATCCACTAGAGTCTGAATGGCACATCAAGGCTTTCTGGGGACACAACCTCTGATTTCTTCTAAATGCACTGACATTTCTGCACAGAAGCTATAAGGGGGCCGACTGTGCATGTTTTTCTAGGCTGGACCAGATTTTTCTCTGCATTACGGTAGGCTCCTTACTTTACGATATAAATCGCCATGAGGCAACAACTGTTGTGATCTGATACTTTATAAATAAACCTGAACTGAACTGAAATGCTTCAGTAACCTGACAGAGCTTCTGTGTTGGATTAGATCACATGTTTAATGTTTCCCAAACAGAGTAAAGCTGGAAGGAAATGAAAAAAAAAAAGACAATACATTTTTATACCATAACTTTTCAACTCTATGAATGCGTTTTATAGTATTACATGGCAGTTGATATGACACGACCAACCTGAAAGACAGGATATATATCCACAGATTCTTAAAGCTTCTGTTACGACATCTGAATGAACTTCCAGGACATTTATATGAATGGGGGCTTGTTTACTCCACCTCTTTCCCTATGACAGCTGCAATAGGCTCCAGCTCCTTCCTGTGACCCTGAACTCAAGTGGAAAAAATGGATAAGGATAGAAGGATATTTATATACATTTAAAGCAAAATGTCATTAGTATATCCAAAATATGTGATGAAAAAAATGTACTCTTGCTGTACTGCAACGTGACAGTGACACAGTAAATCCAGTGGGCATTCTTTGTTACATGTCCCCCTCTGCTAGTTTATTTTCTCTTGACTCTACTAATTTATCCCCTTCCCTCATAGGTTCCTAAAACACCCGTGTTTGATCATTTTTAGTTTTCTTTTTTTGTTTTTTAATCATATAATGGAGCCTTACCGGGGCTGAGCTGTATTTTTGGACAAGGAGCGACCTCTTCTGGATAAACTACACTGACATTTAAAAAAAAAAAAAACTATCTGAGAAGTTTTGAAGTATGTGCGATTAATCGGTGGGGATAACTCTTCGCTTTGACGTTTCAGGACAAAGGATTCAGAGAAGGAAAAAGAGGAAAAACAAGACATGGCTATGAACTCGACTTCAGAAGCAGAAAAGAAAGAAGAGTCCTTGCTGTCACCTCAGAGTGTGCCCTAGCTCACAGCAACATCAAACACTGTCCCTCTCATCAGTGAGTTTATTGCTGATCCACATCTCCTCAGGGGAGAGGAAGGAACATGTTTTTACTTTATCATTTACAAAACGCTAAAAGAAGAAGAAGGAGCAGCTTATAAAAAAAGTGAAGGGACTTGGACACAGGAGAAGCCACCTGCTGCCCGGACCATTTCTGTCTGGCGTATGACATTTCCTCAGTTTGCACAGGGAGCAGTTGGTGTAAATATGCAGTTTTGCTGGGTTTTTTTTTCAGGTATGGCTCATGCATGGCTGGAATATATGACCGACTCATGTAAATACTTTGGGGGATAAACATTCTGTTGTTTTTATCACAGTGGGGCGGTATTTTATCTCGTTCACTTTGTTCTTTGAACTGTAAGCACACGTCACTTGGCACATTAATAATCGTAATTAAAATTATTTTATTTTTCACTAAAACCTAAGAATTGAAGAAAATTTGATAACAATGCACACGAGAGTTGAAGCAGGTTTTATTTGTATAAAATACACGATATCTGAACATTTCTGGCTCTGAACTGAAATCAGCAGATTTTGTTGTAAATCAGTTTTATTTATGTGCATTTAGTTATTCCATCGAGGGTTTGGGTGCTATACGTCCTCTTTATGTGTTCGTTTTCAGCTAACTTGTCAACATGGACACCACATTAAAACACCTGAATGTCAAACTTGCCGATTCTTGATTACATATGACCGCGTGTTAATATCTGGCTCACAAAGTGGTTTTGCATGATTGCATGTGATCAAGTAAGAAATGTTGAGAGCTGTGGAAGTTTGAGGATGCTGCTTGACATAAAGTTTTCCCTATTCATTCACCTTAACCCTAACCATAAAAAGTGAATTCCTAACCCAAAATATCATGGCCATTGTGTGTTTTATCTGAAATCATGAGATGGAGCAGTGGGCCAGGACAAAACTGTTGATGCAGCAGAGCCACGTGTCATATTCATGTCATACAACCTGACAGAGCTGTAAAATGACAGCTGCGAGGCAAGGCTGTCTAATTTTGTTTCTTCTGCCTTTCCTACTTGAGGTGGAGGGTGCTTTCACATCTGCAGAGAAAAAATAAAAAGACTGAAGAGGCACTTTTGATATTTGATACCGAAATGTAACAAACTTATTTAGGCATTTTTCTTAAATGAAGTAACATATCAGCAAAAAGAGTAACGTGTGTGTTCATGATGCAAAATACTACAGCAGTAAAACACTTAAAGCTGGAGGTGTCTCTGGATTGTAGTGGTTAACATGGTTGCTTAGTAAGCAGAAGGACACTGGGTTGATTCCTGCTGGAGATCATGATGAGGGTGCAATCCAGCGGAGCTTTATTATGAAAAAACTAAACTGCCTTTCAGCATACTGTACACGTGACCAGCTGCATATGACATAGATCATTCCTGAAGACTGCAGTGACAACATATGACACCTATGATTTGTTTAAGAGTCATGACTGATACCAGTACTGATACTGGTAGTACCAGTAAATTAGAGGAGATTATGGTCCCCATGTTTTCACTATGGCCTGCTCTCTTTGTGGAACCACAGCAAAATCAGCTGAAAAGACCTTCTTAGCTTTATGTGTATTAATCCGTTTTTAATGAACATAAACGTGTGTTTAATGTCACAGTTGTTTTGTGCTCTGGAGGCCTGAAGATTAGATCACAACTCAGATGAAAGCGAGAAAAGACAATGAGGAAGTTTGGTTACACTTCACTTACGAAAGCGAAGCCATTCAAACATCTGATCTCATTAACCCTTTTTCTTTATTTGATGTTAAATTTCATGGATTTAATATAAAAATATAAATGATTTATTTCAATCACATATACAGTGGCTTGCAAAAGTATTCGGCCCCCTTGAACTTTTCCAAATTTTGTCACATTACAGCCACAAACATGAATCAATTTTATTGTAATGCCACGTGAAAGACCAACACAAAGTGTTGTACATGTGAGAAGTGGAACCAAAAACATACATGATTCCAAAACATTTTTTACAAATAAATAACTGAAAAGTGGGGTGTGCGTAAATATTCAGCTGGAGCTGTTTTGCAAAGAAGAATGGGTAAGGATTTCAGTCTCTAGATGTGCAAAGCTGGTAGAGACATACCCCAAAAGACTGGCAGCTGTGGTTGAAGCAAAGGTGGTTCTACAAAGCATTGACTCAGGGGGCTGAATAATTACACACACCCCACTTTTCAGTTATTTATTTGTAAAAAATGTTTGGAATCATGTATGATTTTTGTTCCACTTCTCACGTGTACACCACTTTGTGTTGGTCTTTCACGTGGAATTACAATCAAATTGATTCATGTTTGTGGCTGTAATGTGACAAAATGAGGAAACGTTCAAGGGGGCAGAATACTTTTTGCAAGCCACTGTATATGAGATATGATTTCTTCATTTGTAACATATTCTGACTTTTGATGACATCTCAAGCAATTTTAAGTATTCCTGTGTTTCAATCTTAACTATAATTTACGCTGACTATGATGTCAGATGATTTATAATTGAAAGGTCACGTCTGCAGTAACATAGGCTAGGTTATCAAAACAGAGACAGTGATGTATTGGTTGAAACATGATAATAATCTGCATAATTAAATTAACGTGTTACAAAAAGCAGCCCTTCAATGCAGCAGACTCAGACAGTGAGTAGCCAAAATAGCTCACTGGACCTTTAGTATTTATAGCAGTCACTGGATCGCCTTCCTCTCCACAATCACTGCTCTGAAGCATAGCCATGTGGTCGGCCTTATGTAATGCACAAGTTCTGGCCACTCCTACTCCTACGGCACAGAGAACTGAAAGACAGCGCAGTCGTCTCACATCTGGAGCTCTTTCACTTCTATATCTCACAGAAGAACCAGCAGCTGCCAAAGGTAGGAAGTTGTCTCAAATAAGCAGCGGTTTTCTACTTCTGCTCCCGTTTTCATGTTTTAAAAACTGCACAGACAGTCAGCTGTGGCTCTGTCGCTAATTCAGCTGCTTTTTATGTACTGTTCAGCGAAAAGCTGTAACGTGTTTGTTCACGACTTCTTTATAGCGCCTTGATAACTCTTCTCGCTCTCTGCAGGACCGCTGGGTAATGGCTGCTCCCAGGACTTACCTCTCGCTTGCCGTCTGTCTTTTTCTGGGACATCAAACTGTTGCCATAAGCGATGCTCCCTGCCAGCTCTCCACTTGGAAAAAAGGCTTCAAAACCTTCATGGATCGCCACGTTCGCAATGGAACTCCTACGACCCTTGATCAAAATGAGTGGTTTAGTTACATTAAGAATATCGGGGACTGTAGCAGACCCACACAGTCCTTCCTTGATCCAAAGGAACTGAAGAGGGTGAAGGCCGTCTGCTCAAAGAATGGAGGAAAGACGTACAAGGATAACCTGTGCATCAGCCAGCAGCCTTTCACCTTTGTCACAGTGAGAAGTTTTAAGGACACTTGTGGTATCAAAAGTGTCCAAAGGGACACCAAACACCTGATCCTGGCCTGTGAAGTGTTGGACAACGAGTGTGTGCCGGTCCATTTTGAGGGAAACCCCACGAACCTGAAGCCTGATAACAATGCCAAAGCCTGCCAGGACCCCAGGATAAGCCATGCTCCCAGCTTAAAAACGACATGGCTCTGGTTGTTGTTTACTTTGTTATTCCTTATAAGCTTTTTTTAAATTGTTAAATGTTATGGATTTGTTTTTGTTTTTTTATCTGAAGGCTTTTCAATTGAGTTCACATTTCAGTCATGAAATTTGATTTGGAGTTTCTGACTTCAAAGCAATATTAAAACAAACAAAAAAAAGTCAAGTATTCAGTTATTTAAAGATGGATTTTTGTAACAAATGTTGCTACTTTTTTATGCATGTACTGCTCAGGTGAGTCTGTCTATGAGTTTGATTTGAATAATTTGATTGTGGACATGCAGACATGGTGTGCAGGGTTTGAATAACAACAGTGGTCTCTTGAGACTGACTCAAAAATAAAATTATTGGTGCTAAATTATGAGCCCATGAAGAGTAAATTTAATAAAAATTCTCAAAAAGCAACTGCAGGAATTTTTCTTTCATCTTTCTCTGACACAAACTCAACGAATCGCCCCAATCCATCCACATCTTTTATTTTAATCCACCAGTAGTTAGTGATTCATGTTTACAAATGAGGTAGATGACAACCATGTGAAGATTGTGTCTCTAGATTTGTCTTGTTTTAACTGATTTGCCTGCTAATTAGTCCACAAAAGCTACAGTGAAAGTGCAGCAATTAGACAGCAAAGCCATTCAAGCTGCACAGAAGACTGATAATAACTATTGTTTGGGTGAGCTTTGTTTGGAGCAGCTGATATATTTATTATACATTCATAACAAGAAGTCTCGTCACACCAGTAGTTCAGTTTCAAAATTCAAGAAATTAATATTTGCTTTGTTCTTCCTTCCAGCAAATTAACCAAATGGGTTTGTCGTCTGTCAGTGATGAAAGTATCGGTACCTCACTGTGTGTACACTTATTGCATGCGATGCAAAAACCACAGGAAATATCAGACCATGAAGACGCGTGCACTTGAAACTCAAATTGCTCATCACTATGCTGAATAGCTTAACATGCACATGATGGCAGTTTAACTAAATGAAATAAGAGTTTTCAGGTGTGGTTAAATACAGATGTAGTCTGAGATTAAGGAAAAAAATCAGCATATGAGCTGCTTTCAATCACAATCTTAACACATCTTTGCCACAGTGCCTCTCTGGTCTCTGCTGATTCAGATTAGCACCCTCTGCTGGCTTCTTCTTACGTTCGACCTCCTGAGATGAGAAGTGGATCCATAGGTTTGCCAAGCTGACTTCTTTCTACCTCTTCAGG